CCCCCCGCCCCGCACCCCCCTCATTGCCCCTGGGTTAGAACCCGCCTATATACCCTACTTCCATGCATTGATGCATCCGTATGAAGTTCTGTCTCAGCATTTACTTATAAAGTTTTAATACAGGCTTAGTGCACAAGATTTCTTTTAAATGCAAAAACGCATGTCGTTCTTTCTCTTTAAACTCGAATTTGATATTCGTTTTCAAAAGATCGCTCAACGATCGCGCGATAAGTGAATATTGCGGTACAAATTTGCGAAAATACCCGCTGAGGCCTAAGAAACTTTGCAGTTGTTTAGTATTCGTTGGCTCAGGGAAATTCTTGACCGCCTCAATTTTACGTTCAGATGGAGATACATATCCGCTCTCTAATATGTGTCCAAGGAATTCGACACGTTTTTTCAAAAATTTACATTTTTGCCAATTAATTACTAACCCCGCTTCACTTGCAACTTGCAAAACTCTCTTTAGATTTCGTACTCCGCTCTCGTTATCAATTGATGGTATAATTAAGTCATCTAAATAGGTTAACACAATCTTTGTTTGAATGAGATCTCTGAATACAATATTAATAAATCTTTGGAAAACGGCTGGAGAATTGCACAGCCCAAATGGGACACGTAAAAATTCATAATGGCCGTCGGGGGTAATGAAAGCGGTATACTTACGACTTTGCTCATCGACGATAACATGAAAAAAACCGTTTTTTAAATCAAGAGTACTATAAAGCTTTGCTCCCTGTAATGCGTCTAATTGATCCTCTATTATTAGTAGCGGATATCTATCCCTTATGATTTTCTTATTCAAGTATCGGTAGTCTACGCACAGCCTCATAGAACCATCTTTTTTTCTTGCGAGAACAATCGGGCTCGCATAGTCCGACAGTGACGGTTGAATTACACCATCGCGAATTCACTCATTCACTTGCGTATTCACTAATTCTCTTTCAGGCACTGCCAACCGCCTCGCTCGCTGATAAACGGGTTCATTGTCTCTTAAAATTATCGACATCTTAAAATCTATTTCTCGCGTTTTGATTGGTTCGTATTCTCGTACGAGTTTTTTTATTTTTTTTCTATGTTCGGTCCTGGGACGTGGGATACATCGACATCGTCATCATTGGAATCTAAGTTAATTTGCAGGATCTCTGGCAAATCGTTATGTAGGTTTACTTGTTCCTGCAACGGATTAACTACAACTTCACCGGGTTTTACTGTTAACTCAACTAGATTTAAAAAGTCAATGCCGACTAGTAACTCGTAATTTATAAGCGTATCCGGCACGACGCGTACAAGAATGGGATACGTATGACCATCTATCGTTAACTTAGTATTAAATTCGCCCATTGTTAAATTATTAGATGTGCCCACGCCACAGAATCGAAGTTCTCTCCGTTCTAAACGCGGACAACCTAATCGAATATACGCACTGGCACACATCAGACATATGTCACTTCCTGTGTCTATCAGAGCAGTTAGCGCACAGCGGTCTATACTAACACTCTTGGTATATTTAACGCATTTTTTATTTACGCTCGCCTCAACACTTTGCACTGCACTCAGTTTTTTAGCGCATTTCGCGGCGATATGCCCTCGTTCGCCACAATGAAAACATTTTGGGCCCTCCGTTTTCGTGGGACAATCTGCAGCTGTATGCTCCCGTTGGCCGCAGTTGAAACAGCGCTTCTCAGTCGTGCCGCTCGCCGCTTCCTTCTTCTCGCCCTTGGTTTTCTCGTTCGGTCGCTGACGTTGACCTTTGTTGCCTTGCCGCTGCTCTACATCTCCGGGTCTGCCAGTTGGACCTTTGTCCTTCAAGGTCACCTTTTCAAATGCTCGCAGCAGTGACGCCTTCGTTACGATCCGCCCAATACGCGCCTGGTCTCTTAGGCTTGCCTCTGGTATTCCGTCTATGAGATATTCCACCAGTTCATCTTCGGGGATGGGCACTCGGTTGGCCAAAATAACCTTTTCGTGAACGTATTGGTGAAAGGTTTCACTTGATTTCCACACACGCTCCTCGAATCGTTTGTGCAATTTCACTCTGCTGGGCCGATGGTTGTACATCTCGCGTAGCTCGTCGAGTAGTTCGTCAACAGATAGTTCGAGATGCTCAGGCTTTGACTTAAACCATTCAGACGCTTTTCCTCTTAAACGCATGCCAATTAAAATCCTGACGTAGTCGTCGGATAGTTTTTTTCAATAATTTGAGTTGTAGCTCCCAATTCTCATAATCGCCGGTGCCGCCATCAAACTGACCTAATAAATCCGCTATGGTCGAAATGCTTGCCTTAGCGACATCACAAGCGGCATCCTCTCTCCTTACTGTCTGCTCTTGACTGGTGGCGCGTGGCTGCTGCGCCCCCTTCAGCAACTCGATTTCTCTTCTCATTAACTGCGCTTCGCGTTCCGCTAGTTCTTTTTCCCTGAGGTACATATCGATTCTCTGCTCGTAAATCATTAGTGCTTCGATTTTCGTTTCACTCTGATTTTCTCGAACAGTCGTGTCCAGCGATCCTGACGCCTCGGCGTCCTCGTCGTCTTCAGCGTCTTCCGCCATCCATCCGCCGGTCGGATCTGCCTCGTACAACCGTTTCAATAACTCGGCTTTGTTTCCGGTGATGGGCAGATTCAGCTCTCGTAACTTTTCTTTAAGCTGAGCCACCGTACAGCTCGTGGGGGGTCGACTCATCTTTGCACACACGATATTCGCCACTCGCGACGAACGATATCACTCGGCCTCTTTCGGACTCGCGGAAAAATCTTTTTTTTTGCACGTGTGTCGCTCAATTGTTCGTATGCTCGTTCGCGGTCTCTCTCACTCTTACGCGCGATCGTCTAGAATTCCCGCGCTCGCGGATGATATACGCACGCGCACGACGTAATATCCTTTCGCGTTCCTTCGCGTTTCCCCTCGATTTGCGTGTTGGCTTGTGTGATCACATCCCGGACGAGCCCCCAAGTTTGTAGGATAATGAGATAATATAATATAAATGTTTTATAAAAGAGTTTACAGGTTATGTGATGTGTTTACACTTCAAGCACAGGCACGCGAAGCAACCGCTCTACACGCTACAGCTCGATCTCGGAAAAGCCACAAGGGCTTTCGTAACTCACGACGACTCGCACGACGCGTAGGAATTTTCACTGACTCGCAAAGTAACTCGTAGGACTCGCAGCAACTTATGGAACTCGCAACGTTTCTTTTCAGGACTCGCAACAACTTATGGAACTCGTAACGTTTCTTCTCGGGACTCGCAATGCTTCCTTCTTTTTTGACTCGCAACAACTCACACACGCATCCTTGCGGACGCCTCGCGAATTTCTCCGCGACGCAACCCTCGCACGCTCACATACACATCTGCCATCTATCACACCCTACAATACGATTATTAAAAAATTAATAGTTTACGAGTTATTTAATATTTTATGCCAATATATGCCACAATAAAGTATAAAATATCTCGTAAACTATTGATTTTTTGATACACTACCTTAATACTTTTATATGCGGAATAATTAGTGGAATTATATTTTTTATGTAAAATAATACAATTCCATTCAAAAATAATACAATTCCATTCAAAAAAGTGGAGATGACTTTGAAATGTTCAAAGCTCCTCCATCCATAGAAAAACTGTTAGTAGTATACTCCACCCTTCTTGATGCTATACAACATCAATAAATATCATTACAAAGAAGTACACGGCATATAAGAGTCAACGTACGTTTACGTTGACTTTTATATGCCCTATACTTCTTTATATTATCGTTTAAAAAACTAAGTGTCCTGTACTATTTGTTATTTGAAACAATAAATATATTATTTCATATCTTTAAAAATATCAGAAATATTCTAAGCGGACAAAGTTACTGCCACATCCTGTATATTAATGAATTTTTTTCAGTGACTATTACTCATCGTCAATATACATGAATAATATATTTGACGTTACAGACTCAGAAAAAAAAATAAAGAGGAGTCAATTATGACGAGCGCGACAAAAATGTAAAATTAGACGGCGACAAAAATTGCTAAACCTGTTTTCAAACAAAACAGAAGAGGAACAAAATGTTTCACAACAATCGCAACAAAATATCGCAACAACAGCCTCTAACAAAAAATCGCAACAACAGCCTCTATAGCAACAACCCCTACAGCAACAGCCTCTACAGCAACAGCCTCTACAGCAAGAGCCTCTAAAGCAACAGCCTCTACAGCAACAACAGCTTCAGCAGCAACGACAGCCTCAACAGTCAGGTCAGCAACAACAGTCTCAACAGTTCTGTCAGCACCAACCGCCTCAACAGCCACGTCAGCAGCAACCGCCTCAACAGCCACGTCAGCAACTTCAATGGCATCAACTAAATGTACAGCCTCCAGTCGCACAAGTAATATTATAAATACAATTTTGTAAAAAAGTATATTCCATAAATACTTGATATATATAAGCATGTACATATAAACTTTTTTCTTAAACAATAATAAGTCTTTTCTTACTTTTAGCAAGCAAAAAATGGACCAAACATAGAAATATGGCAAGAATTACAGAAGCTGCGACAATTATATTATGAAGATAACAATGGAGAAATGAGAAACAGAATAGAGCATTTAGACATAAATGAGTGTTACGTCCTGAGCGCGAGTTTTCGGCGGTCTCGAGACGCGACACGAGTTTGCGGGAACGCGAGCGCGGAGCGGGGCG